CCACCAAAAGCTTAATTCATTTGAAGGTTTAGCACATAGTGAAAATTAATTTTATTCACGAAGTATTTTTACTGAAGAGAAATGCATGCTTTCGAAATTAAATTATTTTAAACGCAAAGAAGAGACGAGATAGTGATTCGTTTTTGCATGCGAAGCCCTCAAACTCGTGCAATAATTTGCTGCTAAAAAAGACGATTTTAACGAAATTTTGTTATTTGTATTTTTCTCTTAAATAAAAAGATATTTTGCCAAAAAAAGTATCCAGTGATTTAAGTTATAGCCTAGCCTATCTAACATTAAAATAAGAAAGAAATCGAATTTTCCACCCTTGCCGCGATATGTTTAATTTTTACAGACAAGCATTCTTAATAAGCTCTTCCTTAAGCTGACTGTCTCTCCAGTATTGAAATATGAAACTGTCTAGACGGGAATGACGTTATATTTGATAAGAAATTTTCCGGTTAGGTGAAGTTAACGTTAACAAAGTAAATCTGTTGTTAACATGCACGCTGAAGCTTTTATGGTTTGTTTAAGAAAAAACTAATAATGTCGATCAACAAGTAGCGTAAAATAAGAGCGACCCTCAATAAATGAAACAAAAAAATTTTTTTGCCGATCGTTAAAGGACCCGATGAGAATAATTTTTCTCGTTTCTTTCCTTTTTTTTTTTTTTTTTTTTCATTTTTACAAAATGTCAGGACGAAACGATGGGGACCTTCCCTACTTTGCGAAGTAGTTACAACTTAGCTTACTGTGCACATTCCGCGCGAGTATGATTTTCCAACAGATGTTTGCTTTCAAAAACAACAATTTTGAGGCTAATAAAAGGCGGACTTTAATCTGTTTTAATTCAGAGATTTCTAAAAGCATAGTAATTTCATTTGACGGTTAAAATCTTTCAAATCAGCGCTCGATTAAGCGCAATTTTTATTTAAAAACGGCTAATTTCACGCCTCTTTTTCTTTTTTCACTATTTTGATCAAAGTCTGTCACAAAATTCTTCCTCGCATGCTATCAATTATGTACACGACAAGAACAAATTTTGTAATTCTTTAAATCGATTTCGTAAGCATTATAGATTATTAAACTACTTTGTCTTTTGAAGTAATTACCCCCTCGGCTGATTCCACCGAATAACAGCAAGAAAAAAAATTCCTAAATAGACAGAAAGTAAAAAGATAAAATTGAGGACAAGATTTTCTTTTCTTTTACTTTCCACGCTTGTGCTGTGACGAAAGAAAAGCAGTATTTCGTGATAATTAACATATTAAAAATCATCCAATTGTCTACAGGTGGCTGGGTTTTAAAAAAGTAATTTTTTCTTTTTGTTCAACACACGCCGTGCTCACACGTCGAGCGACCAGTTAATTTCCCATTTGCCACCGTGTGGGCGTACAAATGATCTTTTTGTGACTATTGGTCAAGAGAGCAAGCATGTAATTATATCATCACATGGCTATAAAAGCCGCACTTTCATGAGCCTGTGCAATCGGTCTCACACCAGTAGCGCTTTAGTTCTACAGTTAAAGAAAATTGGTTTAACTCTCGACTGCACGACTATGTTGTTTCTCCTAGTGATTTTCTGTAAGCTGGTGGTTTTAACCTCAGGTAAGCGGTAGTACATTAGCACAATTCTCTCTTGGTAATTCATGGAGTTAAACGGTTAACTGATAATTTTTAAAGAACCGGATTACCTCGATTTGTTTGAGTGTTTCTTTCGTATTACAAATGAATTCACAACGAACGTTCGTTTACAAAAGGGTGTGAGTTATAATTCTGCTTTGGAACTTGCCGTTGAGACCGGCAATTCTTGAAACATGAACTCTCAGCTCGACAAGTCTGTATTTTGATCTCATCTGAGAAAAAGCGAAAATGTAATTTACAACTAATGTTGGCGTAATATAACCTACTCGTTTCGAAATATCAAACTTTACAACCTAATACTGGCCGAGCTCACTTTAGAGTCTCTGTGATTGAGCTTTGCAATGCGTAATCCGAAGGTCTGAGATTCGATGAGGTCTGAGATCTTATTCGTAGATAATTCGCTTGCCTATTCAGTTCGAACAATCTTATGTTTTTCATTGTCAATAACCATCTATGAAAACATCCAGTGATATAGCGATGAAATATTGAAGGCGCTTTACGAGTCTGTAAATTTTCCATTTTATAAATGGTTTGTAAATTACGATGTTTATTTTGATAACATTGACAGTACTTAACACTTCAACACCACTAAGACTCTATTTGTTTCCTTTGGTATGGGCGGTTTATGTTATAAACCACAAAAGCAATACAGAGACTTGAATTTCACGCCTCTTATCCGAAATGTCTGAATTCATTTATCGAAACGAGCATATCTGAATGGTTAAACTAAACGCAAATTAATAAACTTGAATGTCATCTTCAAAACGAGAAAAGATTTCTTTTTATCTATCCTTTCGATGCGACAAAGCAGATTTCATTTAACGACGTGTACCTGTTCTTCATATCAATTAATTCAATGATGTAATTTCCTTTGTCAAAGCGATCGTTTATTACGAGCATTTCTAGAATATTGGCAGTCTTTTGTGTTTTCTAAAAATATCTTTCCCCTCGATTTCGCCATTAATTTTGTTCCAGCCAGCAGCTAATTTAATTTTTTCTGTATCAAGAAGACACTTGGAAGGGTCAACTTTAAAACCTTAACCTCTTTGATGAGGAATCTCACAAACCTTAACAGATGTGAAAATAAATGGCCTTCTGATATCATTTCAGCCTGACAGGAAATTTGGCTGGTAATCGTAAAGGTGCTTGACCTATGACAAAAGATAGAATACAAGGCATAAAATAAACTTTGTTTTCGACAATCTGTTAGCTTTGGTGGCGAAGTTACAATGAAACTAGTTAAGGAAGCTAAGTAATTTTTAGAGAACCGGATTATTTCGATTTGTTTGAGTGTTTCTTTTGTATTACAAATGACTTTCACAACTAAAGTTCGCCTACAAAGATGTGCGAGGTGTAAGGGCTAATAAGTGACACGTGGCTGTTTGACTGCTCATAAATAGCGCGATAAATTTAGAAATGATATCGAGTTCGTCAGCTGACATATCAAAATGCTGTCAAAGTATGAAAGCGGGTCGGCTGGAGAAAACGTTAAAGTAAACCTCAGCTTGCGACAGTAGGTCATAATAATAACTGAAGATACGACTCTGCGATTGACCTTGCTTTGCCTCTCGCTGTTGCGACTTGCAATTGCTCAAAGACCTGAAACAAGAACTCCCACATCGACAGGTCTGTATATTAATCTCTGTTTCGTGTTTGATTGTTTTAGTGAAAATAGAGATTCACTTTCAAAGGAAGAAAGAAGAAAGCACTTCAACAAAGCAGTTTTATTTTCAGCTTGAGTAAGCGGATTAACGTGAACAAAACAAAACCGTAAGGATTTGTTTAATCGCTATTAAAAATTTGAATATCTAAGCTTTAGGAATCAAGCAAAATTAATATTCCTTACGAGTTTTAGGAAGTCAACTTTTTTTATTATCCCACTTCATAATGGCGTATTTCCGCCAAACTGACTAAATAAGCGCCGGAATGAAGAAAGCACAGTTATGTCAATAGCTGCCAAAAATACAACGCTATCCTCTGCTTTGAAAGGAATATTTAAAAAACAAAAACCTTCGCAGTTATGAAAATAAATGCCGCCTTGTCTGTTCTTGGGCTTCTTCCTTTTACGAGAAAAGAAAAAAACTGTAAATTTTGGCTGACGTACCCTCAGTGGGAAATGAAACCACTAAAAAGAACGGATGTGTCATGAAAGATTAATGAGAAAAGATAAAACTTGTGTTGTGCTGTTTAAATCACCCGTTTTTTATGCATATCATCAGATCAAAGTATTCCGCTTGGCAATAATAAACTCTTCAGTAAAAGCCTTTGTTTATGGGTCATGTTGTGAGTCACACATAACTTGTTTTCGTAGTTAAATGAACCCACCCAAACAGATACCATTAAATTAAAGTGTCTTGAGTGAGCGACGCAACGCTCCTATACTTTTATCTTAGGCAATTACCCACTTGACTGACTCCACTGAATAACGGCAAGAAAGAAAGAAGGCAAATAGCCAGAAAGAAAAATACTAAAATGCAATTTTGAAGGACGGACAAGATTTTCTTTCCTTTCCTTTCCTTTCCACATACGTGCTCTGACGAAAATAGCAGAATTTGGCGATCAAATCAAAATATCAACAAATCATGTCATTTCACCTGTTTCCATGTGGCCGGCTTTTAAAAAGTAATTAATGTTTTGACAAAAGGCACACTTGCAAAGCAAGTGACAAATATCCAATTCATCACATTAGACACTGTGGTCGTGCAAATGATCTTACTGTCAATTCGCTTAAATATTTATTATGAATTCGACACTAATCACATGTTATGTTGCAACCGCTTAAATCTATTCTTTCAAATTTCCCACTACTCTGAAATTTCAATGAGAAGCTTGCATGACTATGTTTACAAAATTCAACCTTCGGATAACACGTTTGGCTAATTAGAGATGGTACAGAGCCCAGTTTCATCTACAATTTTACCTACCTGTGACATAAGGAAGAATCAAAAGTGAAAAGACATTTTTTGTTTTCCTAAATAAGTTGGTTTTAGTGGCGAATTAATTTTCATACAAAGAATCTGGGCCCAATTCGGGCCCTCGTATATTTATTCGATCTATTAAGGGCACTCATATACATTTTTGTTTCATTTTCCTTACGCTCGCCAAAAGAAATAAAAGAAAACATATTTATTCTAAATCTTTGTTATTCGTATACTAAGTTTCGACTCATTTCGATAATTTTCTTTGTTTTTCATTGCCATCGATTGCCATTAAGCCTCGAGGAGGGTGATGACTTGTATTTGCATTTTGACAATCATGTGATAACGTAGTAGACTCATGCTGAGCTGTCATATTATCACATGACTGTGAACACTCGAGTCTGTTGCATTCGTTCATTTACGACAAACACGCATAGAGCTCTTTACAAGGGAAATTTGAAATATCAACAGTGCAGTATGGGAATGGGACATAATGTTTTATATCTATCCGGGATTTTCATCACTTTGGTAGTTTTCAGCTCAGGTCAGTAAGTCGTAATACATTAGTAATGATTTCATTGCATTGAATATGAACACTGGTACGGTCGCTGGCGAAACAGATACCGCGCGCTTACATTTTGAATAGGTCGCTGAGGATTAACAAAAACTTGTAGTAAATCGATATAAGATTTTCTCTCGATCTTTAAAGTCATATTTTCATACCTTGAAAATGTATTTACGGCTGTCATCTTCAGCACTTTATTGCTGAACAATTGTAGGGGGCTCGAATTAATGGCTCTGTGTTTTGACATTGTTCACATGCCTGGTCCACATGAGAGCAATCCATATTGGAGACGTTTGGCGAATAAAGCGGCGGTGTAAGAATTAACATCACCCGCGGGTCGAATGAAGTTTTGGTGCGTACACATAAAATAACAAAATCGTCTCGAAATCTCCAAATTTATAACCTAGTACTGGTCTTGCTCACTGTAGAGGGCGATGAGTTGTATTTGCATTCTGACAGCCGTGTGATGACGTAGTAGACTCAAGCTGAGCGAAATTTCACGACAGGTTTACGAACACATTTTGATGTTCTAACAATAGCAGAAAACCACAAATTTCTAAGACTCTATTGTTTCCTGACGTTGACAAGAAAGTTTTGGCTACAATGAAGTTTCCTTTTACTTCTCCGCTGTACCGTTAGGTTTAAACATACGACGTCTTCTTATTGAGATAGAAAGACCGGGTTGCCTCTTCGAGACAAAAGTTGGACAAAAATGTAGTTAACCCTCATTTTTACCGATATTGGGCAGGTAATGTAATCTTAAGGAGAATTGAGACATTAAGCACGCGTTTCCAGATGGCCGGTTCTCAACAGACGCTTTTAATTGAAATTTGTCGCGACTTCGAAAACAATGTGCTTAAACTTGTTGACTACGCACGATGATTTGAGGCTACAATTATCTTCCGTCGCTCAGTTAATTTTTTAGAGGGACCACTTTTAGTTCAGTTGAGCTTGTATTCTTCCGTATTACAAATGCGTTTCCCAACAAATATTTACCAACAAAGACATTTCAATTGAACAATTCTGACTGCGGATGGCGTGATAAATTTAGACTTGACGTGAGACTATCATGAATTCAGCGATGTATACACGGCCGGTTATTTACGCGAGGTCTAACCCAAACTGCGGTTTTATGCAATCAGAATGCAAAGACTCAAAATAAAAGACTCCTAGTACTCTCAAATTATACTCGAACAAAGCCAAAGAGTGTATAACTATTGTCTGCAAAACCTACTGAGAGCAATTCAAGAGTAAAACTATTTGTAGAAGATAAATACGATTGCGACGAACTCATTTCATAAAAGGAGTCTCCTTCATTACCATTTAAAGCAACATTTGCTGGCTAATCAAATAACACAAATTCCACAAGCGATTCGCGATGGGATGGGGAGGGGGGGGGGAGGATCAGAGGATGTTTTGGGGGTAATAACATGGCTTTCAGGGGTGTTGTGACATAACCAAATTTCTCCCCCCCCCCATCCAACCCCCAACCCCGTCTCCTGCGTTATAAATGACCACTCCCATAGGAATCACATGAGTGCCCGGTAAAATTGCTAACTTCCTTTTTTATCTCTACACTCCCTCGACAGGATCAGATATCGATAATGCAGAGAACAAGATCGTTGTTGAAAATAATGCAAAGGACGTAGGGATACATTGCGTGATAAACAGAGATGATCTTCCCCAGTCGGACAGCGAGTCAAAGGGTTTATATATGTGTCCCACAATGAGGCAATGCAGAAATGAAAGCCGGGACAGATTCATAATTGCACGGATCGAAAACAACACGATATTCAATTACTACCCGAAGGAATATAAAGTTAGCATGAATGGAACATTGACTGTACGAAAGATGTCATCAAAGTATGACGGAATGGTGGTCTGGTGCATATTAATGGTTCCGTTAATTGGAGCGGGAGAAAACACAACTGTCATTCAAATAGCTAAAGGTACGACTTTGTCTGTCGAAAAACAAAGCATTTATCGTGGAAATTACTTTTCGACTACTACCTCCCTTTCTTCCCCTTCATTCGCTTATGCACGTAGGAGACAGATAAATAGAACGCAGGAAAGGAAAAAAAAACATCACCGTTTTTAATCAATATTTAATTAGGCTTACAAAACTTTGTTCTCCTCTTTTTCAGAGAGGCCCAAATTGAATATAAATAGCCCACAACTGTTCGCGGTGGTCCAAGGAATGACTCTACATTTAGACTTCGATGCAACTGGTTATCCTTCTCCCCGGGTAATCTGGTTTCGTGACGAGCAAGTTCTTCAAAACAGATCAATTGAAGAAAGCACAAGTTTGGTGCTAAGAAACGTCACTAAAAACGACGAAGGAAAATACAATTGCACGGCTACAAATCTTCTAGGAAGTGATAGTTATGAGGTGCAAGTAAATGTCATCGGTGAGTTTTAATTCTTTGACCTTGAAATGGCACAAAACTAATTTTTAATACAAGCAAGCGAGTTTCCAACTCTTTGCTTCTTGAACTTACTTCAATTAAATTAACGGTAATCGAAAACCAAACAAACTTCCTCAAGAATTGACCAAAAAAACCAACAATAAAAAATAAATAAATAAATAAATAAATATATATATATATATATATATATATATATATATATATATATAGGAAGTCTGCAAGTCGATTTTCGCGTGGAGCAGTGCTCAATACGTTGAAGCAGAGCAGAATAAATATTATGAGAGGAAAAAAGGACGCAACTACATTTCCCGACAAGCCTGTTTCGTGAATCGCTTCACTCTCTCGATTAAACCCTGAAGAGTGAAGCGATTCACGAAACAGGCTTGTCAGGAAATGTAGTTGCGTCCTTTTTTCCTCTCATAATATATATATATATATATATATATATATAACAAATAACATAAACTCAAAACGTAAACGTATATCACGAAAAATCTGTTTCCATTGTTGAAAAAATGATGAGTTTTTATCATCTGTACTCATGGTAGAACCGTACTATTCATCTTATGTAGTCAGCCTTAATGAGTCCGCTTCACCGTCGTCCGATTTTGAAACAAATCTAGGATTACAAATCCAATCGCCGCCACTCGGTCCTATGGTCATTTTAATTCGATCTTCTTGTTTTGTGTGCATTTATTTTGCAGAATTTCAAAATTCAACGTTGCCGACACCAATAGGTATTTACTAAATTTAATTTTCGATTTTTTTTCATTTGTTTGACATTTTTTTGGTCCTGCGTTTGTCTTCATTGTGAGCGTTTCTGCTTTTCTATATTTTTTTTGTTTTGTTTTTTATTGTGTTTTGTTTTTCCTTTTTCTGTATTTATTCACTTTGTTTTGTTTCTTCTAACTTTAAGTTTTTTGCATTTTTGCGTTTTTGTTTTGTTTTGTTGCTTTTTTTGTCTTGTTTAGTTTTGGACCAATTCTAGTCCCTGCATCGTCATTTTTTCGTTACCATGGGGATGACTCATTATTACACTTGATATATTCAATTTTTGATTAATAATTAATTTTCATACTTAATTATAATACTTAATCAATTTTGTGTTTTGCAGATAAACAGGGAGGTCGAGGAAGTGATCCCTACGAAGTGATAACTTACGTGTTTTTATCACTCCTGATCCTTGCAGGGGGGTATATATTTCATTTAAGGAGGCGTGACAGACGCCGGAACCACGGAAGTGCTACGCTTGAAGTATAAATTTCACGAGCCAAGCGATAATGTAATTTTTGTAAAAAAAAAAGTTTAAAGAACCACAACAAAACCAGAGGTGTCAAAAAAAAAATGAAAAGTTAAAGAAGAATGTATAGAAAATGTGAAATGTTTTGCAAGTTTTGTCTATTGTGATGGCAGAACTTTTTCATTCGTGATTAACAATAGACAAAGCCAAGAATATTAATTAAATGCCTGTAAATATCGCAAAAATTAGAACCAATTTTAACGTTTGTAAAAATTCACTTTGGATTATAGAAGGAAAGGGTTGATATATTAAAATCAGGAATTTACACTCTCATTGTAAACAGACAAAGAAACTGGAAAAAGGAATCCAAATCCGCATATTTCTACAGCTAACTGAATTATTTATTCATTTTTTGTCATTCAATGCCACGTGTTATCATCATTTAAAGTGATGTATCGTAAATGATGTACTGTGGAAAATTTTTAAAAGAGTTCGTATATTGTAAACATAATATGTCGTTCCCAATAATGATTTGTCAAAATAATTACATTTAATTGAAGAGACTGTCAGTTTTCCACCTCTAGATTTTTAAGCTTCTTATTTCAAATTAAATTTATCGACAAACAAATCAGTAGAACGTAAAAGAGGTTAAATGTCCCTCTGTATGGTTTCTGTTAACGACGTCTTGGTCTTCTATACTGTGCTCAGATGTACCAGAATTCCAAAGTTGTAACATTTTTCTGCAAGGAAATGAATATTCTTATTAGAACAACGGCAGTGAAATACCACGTGACCTTCCGCGCGAAAACTTGCAAATAACATGGTCTCTGCGGTTGAATAACAGTTGTGCCTTTCGCAGTTAGAGTAGAATGGATTGCCTTTTCATCAAGAGAGAGTCACTCGTATCTCCATGCAGCCATGTAATATCCTCTTTTCATTATACGCATAATAGTGAATTAGTAGAAGAGCTCCCTCACAAACATGTGACACGCGTATCGTTGTTTTTATATGTGGATACCGCACGGACGCTATTGTTACAAAGTAAATCGCATGCAAATTAAATGGTTCGGTTTTTCCTTTATGTTTATATGACAAAACAGTATTACATTGCCGTTTGGAGGAGCGAAATCTAGAAAAAAATAAACAATAATTTTCTCATTCAGTCCATTTTTTGGACCATTGTTTGGACCTTTTTGTGGACCAATTTTTGGACCATTTTATCGGGGGGAGGCAGATCAGTAGTATTAACGGAGGAGTTGGATGCAGTCTATCAGTGCTCAGGAAGGGGTGGGAGGCAGACTGTTGTTACAGTTTCGCATTCGCATGACAAAAATATAAAGAAACGCTAAGGCCCGGCGCAAAAAAATGACATGAAAATAGTCATTCGAAAAAAAGGCTAATAATAATGTTATGATCCAGTGAAAATTCCTATAATCAGCAGCATTTTCTGATACAACAACCTCTCACCCCTCCCTGCGTACTTTTAGGTCGTCTTCGACCCCTTCCTCAGTAACAACAATCTGCCTCCCACTCCTTCCTGAGTACTGAGTACTGATAGACTCCATCCCATCCCTCCCTAAGTATTAATAGTCTGCCTTTTCCCGATAAAATGGTCCAAAAAAAAAAATGGTCCAAAAAATGGTCCAAAAATGGTCCAAAAAATGGTCCAAAAAATGGTCCAAAAAATGGTCCATATTTTAACACTATATCACTGCATGTTTTCATAGAGGTCTATTGACAATGAAAACATAAGACAGGCTTGTGAACGTTTGCGGTTTTACCCGCATCTGATCCCGTGACATTAAGACTCCATCCATGACGAGCTTTGGATTGGAATGTGCAGCCAGCTAATTTGCATTTTTTTTTTCCGGCGCAAAGCTCTTAAAACCGCAAGATCAGTTGGGGGTCAACGCCACAAGCCTGTTTCTCTAGTTCTCTTACGACAGACAAGATACAAGTAAGCGCTCTCTAAAAGGGAAATTTGGTTTCAACTCTCAACCGCACAGCTATGGGTCACTCCAGTTTATTTCTCTCTCTGATTTTTATTACTCTAGTGGCGTTCAGCTCAGGTAAGCAGCAATACATTAGTAATGACTGGATTGATGTTATTTTCATAGAGCACTCCTACGGCCGCAAGCGAAACAAAAAACTTTCGTTTCGAGATATCGAGGCCAGTGTTAAAATGTTGAAGTTTTACTTTGGAGAAAAAGCGAAAATGTAACTAAAGGAGCTTTACGAGTCCACAAATTTCCCTTCATTGATGAAAAATCGCAAGCGTAGGAAATAAGATGGTAGCAAGATGTTACTTTCAGTTTTGGGGTCATTGCAAGTATTGACAGTAGAAAACGTTCGTGTAGACGGTTTATGTTATAAACCACCAAAACTATTCAAAGACTTCTATTCCACGCCTCTTATCCGAATTATCTGAATTAATTCATTGAAACGAGCATATCTGAATTGCATAACTTAACGCAGATAATAAACTCGAATGTTGTCTTAATAGTTTGAAAAAAAAATGTTTTCTGTCCTTTTAATGCGACCAGAAAGCGACGTGGATTACTTGTTCTTCATATCAAACAATTCAAAAACGAAGCATAAGACAGTTAAAGCAATCTCCAAAACAGCTCTAAGGGATTATAACTCTTGATAGGTCGTAAGTATTCCTACAAGTGATATTTTTTTTCCGCTTTGAATTGCTGCGAGATAAGCGCTGGACTGAATCAAATTGATTTGGCTCGAAGACTATTTTCTTCGTGAATTGCCACAAGCTGCAAGATTATGCGTTTAGGGTTAATTGACGCAAGCAAATTCTGCAACCACAACAACCCTATTCGTTCCCACTTCCCGACAGGCTTTGGGAGTCTGGACACGAGGTTATCCTAAACTTCCTCTGATAATTATAAAGGTTTTTGTCCCTCGAAAAATTAAGATAATGATAGCAAATTATTATTATCAGGATTTATTATGCTTTGGCTATTCTTTGGACCAACATTTTTAATATATGACATTGTTTCACGCAACCGTGGACTTACCCTCCCCATGCCCTCCTCACTCCTGGCAAAAAAGACTCTTCCCCGTGACATGTAACGTAATCTCTCTTATGTAGATTACGTGTAGATTACGTGCTTATTGTAAGAGCTCGAGTACCTTTCTTTTCTTTATTTAATTATTCCTCAGAGTTTTTCTGGACTACTTTGAAACAAGTTGGCTTCTTTGAACGTCCAGATGAGTCCAAGTTTTCTCCTCGCCCTCTTCTTCGCAGGTTACGCAGCCAGGTGTTTTAATTTCATCGACGCGTCACGGCAAGGTAAAGTTGTTCAAATAGCTTTTTCACATCTCATATCAGCTAATCATAAACACAAGGCAAACGTAAAATAATCTTTTCAACTTCTTAATGAAATTATTCAGGATTTAAGCTTACTGATAACAACGCAACTCATCTATCAACAAGATAACACAATAGAATTTGGTAATATATTCTAAGCGTGTTTGCACATAACTCTCATTTTGAGCTCATTCATGCAATTCCTTGAACGTAAGTAGTCTTTGAGTCGGTAGATTAATTATAATAAATTCATATAATATATAGATTTAGCCAAGCCTTTAAGCTGAGCTCTTCTAAGTTTATTTTCTAGCTCCTCATTATAATAAAAACTGTAATAAAACTGTTCAGCACTGGCTGTAGAAGAGTTTCTTCAAGGGGATTAAGAGACCAGTCCGGGAGGTGTGAGGGAGGGAAGACTTGGCGAGGTCTAGAACCTGGGGACGACGTTCTCACAATTTTCGATAAAACGCGTGGTAGTCAGCGGTATCTTCAAACAGCTGAGGACCTTCGTTGTTGTTCCTGATGTTTTGAGCAAATTTTCGAAGACAGAGAATCTTTTCCTCCTCGGAGGAAGTGTGCGATGTCAGCATCAGTTGAAAATATATTCTTTGACCGTGACGGATAATTTTGGTTTGGGAAAATGAGCCAAAATTTAAACAAACGACGGTAAACTACTCTGAGTTTAGAGATCAGCAGTCCATTGAAGAGTATACACGTGATAATAGTGAATTAGTAAATCAAGACGCCAAAATCGTATGGGCTTCTCTCATATCTTCTCTTGATGTTGCCAGGTATGACTGTTTGCCCCACCATTTTTCCCCTAGCGTTTTAGCCTCCTCTGTTTCGCGTAAAAATAAAAAAGAAAACTCATTTTCAACTCGTGTTTAAACCTGTAATTTCTTAAAACTTTTCCTCTTTTGGCTATTATTCTTTCATGATTGTCCTCCGGCTGGAAATACACGGCGTCTTTTTGAGATTCTTTCTGTTATTTGACTCTGTAACCTCTGCTTTAACCACTTATAATGTAGGTTTCTTTAAGCCAACTTCCAATGATCTTAGCAACTCTAGCTAATGAAGTACGAAATTTGTCCAACATGCATCTTGCGCAGCAAAAGTTTGCTTTAAAAGAAGACAAGCTAAAGCTAAAATTTCATGATTAAAACTTGATGACGAAGAGAGACTTAGGATTCGACCATGAAGACATTTGTGGAAAACTTGAGATAATACCTGGATTTCATTTTTACATCACATCAATCAAATTTTCTCTTCAGTTTTAAAGTTGAGTTAATGTTGTTACTGGCTATATTAGATGGGTTGAAAAGTTTTTGATAGTATTTTCTCATGTCTGCAAAGCGTTGAATGAACTGAAAGGTAGAGTTATTGCAACATGTTAACATGAAGCACAACAATAAATTTTATTGGTATGTAAAAAGTTTTCATTTGACTATTCACTGGCAAGTCGCTGTATTATATTTCAACTCAGCCATTTTCCACAATTTGTAAACACCATTACAAAATATTTAGTCAGGAAAAACACACCATGTTTTAAATGTCATGTCCATAGTTAGTGGACAGGATTGAGGAGGGTGTATGTGGGAATTGGCTATCTTGTCTGTATTGTTAATTTGCTAATCGCTCCTGTTGCCAATGTTTTGATGTTAAGGTAAAGGAACTGAGGATTTTAGTAGGCAGTGACTTTCTTCAAACCGGGAAACTATCATCGTGAAAGCCATACTTGTGTCTGGTAACTCATTCTTATTCTGATAAACTAGTTTTAAGAAGGATACGATATTTTATTACAAATAGTTAAAGCATAGGCTATGCACAAATATTTAAATTAACTATACTTTTCTAGCCAATACCAATCCCTAGGCATGATGAGATGTCAGAAGGATCAGTGGAAAAATGTAAGAATATTCTTAAAGAAATCTAAGAATATTTAAAAATTAGAATTCAGCATAGGCGAAATAAACATGATTCTTATAAAAAGAGATGTGTACTAATGAAAAAAGCTCAGCAACCTTTTTGACCGGTTTTATATGTTTAAAACACACACACACACACACAAGCAGATTTCTTATAAACCTGTAGTTCAAGCCTGTCATGACTTAAAAATTTTGATGCACACCTCAAAAGGAGAAGAAATAAATTTCAAGTTTCTATTTATTCAGTTTTGGTTTTTCAGGTAAAATTGAGTAAAATAAAGAAATGTGACAACTAATTTATTAGGTTAGCCTACCTAGAACAATCAACTTCGTGTACAAATAAGACTAAACATGTACTGATGATGCACAAAAGAACTATCTGTGGTAAGAGGGCAGGCTTTCCTCTCTTCATTAAAAAAATACTGAGGTTATCATCTTTCCACAAGCTCAGTGGAAAGTGAGAGCGAGAGAGACTGATAGCGACTATGGTATTTGAGTAAATATCCGGAGAAGGATAAAAGTTAAGATATGGTCTGCACAACTTTCTTATTTTAATTTTATAACCTATTAAGCTAATTCATTTATATTCTTTATTTATGCATTATGCAGATACCAATTGATTTAAGTTTCATGCAGGTCAAAGTAAAAATATGAATTAAAATGGCAGAGCCCACTTTAATTTCTGTCCTAATTAAAGGGGGATCTTTGCTATTCCAGTTTCCCACCCTTTAAAACTCGCATATCTTGTGACCAATTCCTTACATCAATGTTTAGTTTAGGTGTGAGTATTGGTAAGAAACATCATGCATTAATGAATGAGCAAGAGTATTTAATGCAATTCAAATAATAATATTACATGTTACAATTTGGCAACTTACACAGAAAAATTATATAATCACACAATTCCAAACAAAGAAAGTCAGGTAATTGACTAACCTGCTTCAACTTTTGAGGGCTTGAGGTAGAAAGAAATAAATATGGTAAACAGTTACAATTAATATAAAGTTGAAAGTTTAAAAGCTAAGAGATATACATTACAATCATTAAATCCTAAGCATGTTGGCAAAAAAGGATCAGTTACCACTATAACTTCTCCCAAACATTCATACTTAAAGGAAATCATTAGTTTTTGTCAATAGGTGGTACTGTACTTACAATAGTTCCACTGACACAAATGCATTTTTCAAAAGTTATCTCATAGCTTATGACTGTACAGGTCATGTGGATGGTTCCTGGTTGGGGACTGACATTTCAATTACCTCAGCAAACTGTAATCATCAGAATTGCAAGCCAAGGTGTATTTACCAAGTGCTCACGTTTCAAAAGTAGTGACCAATTTGTTACAGTCGAGTTCACTCCTTTTTGAGGCCATCTTCAGCTTGATCATCCTGTTACATGTGAAAACATCAAATGTTACTCACATATAGTGCCCATTTTATATCTATTTTTTAAACTATTTTTCCCTATTTTTTTATATTTTTCCCTTTTTTTCCAGACTATTTTGAAGTAATTTTGTAACTATTCTAAACCTATTATTTTGAAAAAAAATAGTAAAACAATAGTCTTGTTGTCAAGTCATAACTACTGTAGAGATAGCTTTAAAATAGCTTTAAATTAGAGAAAATGTGTATGCGATTTGATGATAAAATAGGATTAAAATAGCATTAATGAAACATTACTTATAAAAGAAAATAGACATAAAGCAGGGATAAAATAGAGAACATTACACAAAAATAGGAAAAAATAGAATATGAATACATTTAAAATAGGTTTAAAACATACATAAAATAGGAATAAAGGAGGAAAAAATAGGAATCAAATACCACTAAAATAGGTCTAAGAGACATAAAATAGACATAAAACAGGGATAATATAGGAAAACAAGTTGAAAAAAATAGGATATAAATACACTTAAAATAGGTTTAAAATAGGGTCTCAGGTATATGCAATTCCTGTAAAAAAATGTAATTCCTAGGAATAAGAGGCGAGAATTTTCATGGTAAATTCGAAATAAAAATTCCTAGGAATTCCCAACTGTAATAACACTGGTTCTAAAAACCTTGAAATTCCCAGAAATTCCTAGTTAATAGCCAACAGGACTTTGAATTCCTAGGAGTTCCAAGTCAGAGCACCAACGACTTTCCCTAAAAGGCTGTAAATCTAAAAAACTTACCAGAGATTCCTGGGAATTTTCAGGAATTTATAGAAACATTGAGGAAACTAACATGAAATAAATACTAAAAATTTATGTCCTAACTAAAACTTCAAGTATATAAGTATGACGTGTAAAATATTTGTAATTATATATTCACATCAACAAGTAGTAATATTAGAATATTAAAATCTTGTTGTAACTGTATCATTCAATTAGAATGAAGTTATCCTAAACTGCAGACTTAGCTGGTGTTTGTCTTTTTTTCCTGGACTTGCAGCTTTCTTTGTTGGCCTTAAATGAGGTTGTTTACAAGAAGCCATTCCAATCTGTATCTGGATTCCATGGCGTAAAATAAATAAATGAGCTCAGACATGGCCTTAGATAGCTATAAGGAAAAGGGCATTCATTGGAATCCTAATTTGAAAAAGTGCACTGGGATTGGGAAATCTCTGTTATGTTGAATAACTTTTATATTGGAGTTAGTACACCTCTTCCGTAGATTTTGGTAAAAAAAGGGCTAAATACGTTACTTTTTTTATCAAGGAGGGCTTCTTTATGTAATCAGGTTTGGTTAATCACAGTTTGTATTATAAATCTAGAATGTTCCAAAACGTGAATAAAGACATCTTAAAACCTTATTGATAGATTTATTTCATTGTAAAGTGTAAACTTAAGAAACTGCGGCATGCAAGTGACCGTTTCGATTCTCAGAATTATTCGAGTTTCAGTTGCGCGGAGCGTTATGTAAGCTTAATTCAAGCCGTTATATCTATTCTTTGGTAAGATTTTGATCACGTAACGAATATCACAATTTTTACTCACCACAAACTTTCAAAATCGTATCCTTATAAATGGCCACTCGACCCTTGTTTGTACCTGTCGATATGTCAACTGTTGTCACT